AGAAAGAAAACATTATTTTGATCTAGGTGGCAATATAAAAGTAGGACAGAGGAGCGGAAAAGGAAATAGAAAGAAGATGAATAGAAGGAAGATATGTCTTACAGACACGTTTAGATTGGATCACCCTTAAGGATCCACCTAATGTATAATAAGAAACTGATAAGGGCTTGTAGTCTGGGAAAATATAATGAAAGAATGGAATGGATAACAGAGTGTGGCATGATGTATATGAAAACACTCCACCCATTTGATAGCAGTTTTGTTAACCTAAGTCTTTAGTATAGCTTCCAATACCTAATATTTATATGTAGATTATATAAATCAGGAATTTTAAGACTTTAGGGAAAATATTCAGGTTGATTTCTGAGGTATTTAGGATTATTTGATAGTTATCTAGTTGCGTTTGAGGGATAGACAAGCCTAGGGTCTTCTTACTATGGCACCAGCTTAGTTCCCCCTGGAAATAATTCATATTTGAATGGAGAACATTTGACTTGAAAGTGATCTGAATGGAAAATTCAAGTTTATAAGGAAAAAAATGTTTTCAGTGATATTATCTGTGCCTCCTCAGTCACAAGTTCTCTCTTTCATCTCTAGGCAACTGCAATTTAATATAGTACCTACTAAGTACAAGGCATTCAACACAAAGGTTCTGAGGTCGTGATTACTATCCTCAAACAGGAGATAAATGTCTCCACTTCCTAACTATTGGCAAAGGCTCTGAGAAAAAAAGATCTTTGACTATTCTCCAAGGGAGTGAGATAAAGCAATTCAGTGTAAAAAGCAAAATGTTAGGTTTAGTATGCCTCTGGTTTCAGAGCATAAGAAACTTGGACTTGGGGGGACATCTACGTTGCTCAGTCAGTTAAGCATCTGACTCTTGATTTCAGCTCAGATCACAATCTCACAGTTTGTGAGATTGAGCTCCACATGGGGCTCGGCGCTTATGGTGTAAAGCCTGCTTGGAATTCTCTCTCTCCCTGCCTCTCTGCCCCTCCCCTGCTCAAACTCACTCTTTCTCTCAAAAATAAATAGGGGCACCTGGGTGGCTCAGTCAGTTAAGCGCCCAGCTTTGGCTCAGGTTATGATCTCATGGCTTGTGAGTTCGAGCCCTGCATCAGGCTCTGTGCTGACAGCTCAGAGCCTGGAGCCTGCTTCAGATTCTGTGTCTCCCTCTCTCTCGGACCCTCCTTCACTTGCTCTCTCTCTCTCTCAAAATTAAATAAACATTTAAAATTTTTTAATAAATAAATAAATAAACTTAAAGAAAAAGGAACTTGGACTTGGGAATCAGATATATCTGGGTTTAATGCTACCTCTTCTGGTTTCACATACTAGCTTCATAACCTTGGGCAAGTTGCTTACCTTCTCTGAACTTTTGTTTCTCTGTCTATAAAAATGGAGTTAAAAATCTGTAGCCAAAATGGTTCATTAGCATTAAATGAGTATGAAAGTTCTAGTACAGTCTCTGACCAAGTAGACAATCAGGAAATGTTACAAGATAATAACTTTTCAAGGTGTATGCACCATAATGTCAGTGGCTTTTGCTGTCGAGGTAAAGCATTTTCTGTGTGAGAAGAATGTTTCCCCAGGAAGATAAGATGTTATTATTTAACCTGCTGCTTTTGTCAGTTTGTCAAAGGTTAAACTTACAAAAAAATACAGAAATCTCTAATTCATTATAAGTCAGCCTATCACATCTTCAAGACCATTCTGTTACAAATTTAAACTAGAATTACGGAGTTGAAAGAAATTCCACTTCTGGCTTGTTCCACTCCTCCAGATAGATTTATTATATGGTTTAACATCAGGGAAAAGTTTGGGTAAACCATTTATTAAGGTTTTTATCCAGATTTTTTTAATATGGCATTGATTGAACTTGAATAGCTACTGACTTGTATTCACTTAATCTCTCAATTTTCATGATCATTACATTAACTATATCCATAAAAATACATTCAGTAGTAGGATATTATGATTCAACATTCCTAGAAAATATTTGTTCCATTCCCCAGCTAGGGGAAAAAAAAGTTCTTTGCAAATGCAGCATATATGTGTGTATGTGTGTCTGTTAAAGAAACTAGTATCAGAATATAAGATTATATAAGATTAGCCTCTTACCATCTTGTCGTTTGTGTTCCACACAATTTGATAGACGCAGAAAACTGATGTCCTGTTTGAATCTACTTTAGCAGTGGAAGTAAAAGGAAATCATATCCTCAAACTTGAGGAAACGTGGTATGTAGATTGTGAAAAGTCCCTCAGTGATCCCATTTAGTACACTGTTTCCTGTCCAATGTTTAATCCTATCTTCAAAGGTAATTGTTGAGGTTAAAAATATATAATTTAAGGGAAGTAGAAAAGCCACTTGTTCTGTTGTCTCCCAAATGCATTAAAAATATCCCCTTTGTAAGTCATCTTGAAGAAGCACGCAAATTACAAGGCTGGGGAGAGTCAGTATTGAAAAACACTGCACTGTATCTTCATGTGATGTTTAAGACTGCTACCCACATTTCTTTCAGAATCACTTCAGACGATCAGCTAAAAATGCCGTTAACTATAAGAGACTCCATCTGCCAAAATGTATTAAAGTGATATACCATTAATGCTAGTTCAACCTCAAAGAAATCATCCTGTAATGAAATGCTTTGTAGAAACTCAGGAAAGCTAGGAAACTCACAGTTTTCTACAAAATTAGCCAGTATTTGAGACCGATGGTGGTGTGATATAGAAATGGTAATTTGACTTCCTATAATGGCTCCTTAATACTTCACCATAGACGTGTTTGCTTTTGTGAATTTGTCTTACACACTTAGAAATAAATGACTTTTATCCATAATGGAGGAAGGATTTCAAAGAAGCAAATGTGTGGAAAAAGAAGGGAAATTTATTTTCCTTGCCCACTTCCCAATATTTCTCCCTAACACATAAACACATAAACATGAGCAAACCTTACACATTATGCATGCGCACACACACACACACACACACACACACACACACTGAATTGAAGGCATCTCTATAAGAATATTTTTTAAAGTGAATTTGTCTTTTTCAAAATAGGAGCAGCAAACACTGAACTCAGTCCGTTATCATATTTGGGGTAATCACAATCTCCTTCCATGGGTGTCTTTAGTTCAGAGGAAAAGACTAGATGATAGTCCATGACTATAAATGAGGACCAGAATGAGATAAAAGTGTCTACAATACTTTAGTTGCTTCTGACACTCTATAATAAAGCACCGTCAGACTTTACAAAGGTCAAATTGGGAGAAAACAGAAGCTAGCACACTCTCCTGATGATTTATAATTTGACCAAATTCACAGCCTTTATCTGATCAAATTATTAGAACCCTGCTTAGAGGCATCAATCATGGTGGAGTTCCTAAATGTGAAGAAAGTGAGGGAGAGTATTTTCTCTTTACTACACATGAAAGTCAGAAATAAAAGGGAATCTTCTTCAAGAACAGAGACCTCATGACCCAAGGATCTTAATGTCTCAGTTTTCAAATCAGACGATGGCTCTGTACATAGACAGGATGTTTGTCCAAAAAAACACTATATGCAGAAACACCTTGGACTTGCTTCCCCACTGCCCAGCTTGCCTCCTCCTTTTCTTCCTCCCTGCTTTGAAATTATCTTCATGAGATAGACACCTGGGCTCTAGAAGTTTGCTATTAAGTAAACTGCCTGGGAGAATTTTCTGACCTTTGCTTTAAGTGGAGATTTGTTCATCTGGTTATCTAGCTAACACTTGTGGCTCTGACACAAAGCGAAACATGGTTAAATTTCAATGAAGAGAGAGAAAATATATGTGAAGCTATTATTTGATTTTCATCGTTATCACCTGACTTTCTTACAGGTGTGTTCAAATATTCCTATTATCCAGCTTTAATTTCTATTTCTAAAGGATTTTTTACTTTTCTCTTTCACGTTACATTTATTGGCCCTTTGACTCTTCCTTGTATAAACCTCAAACTTTCCACACCTGTGACTTTGTTAGTTCTTTTTCTGAAGCCCTCGCAAATGTCACATCCTTGATAATCCATCCACTGGTAGATGAGATCATTTGAGACAGCTGTACCCAGTCAAGATTTTAGCTCCAAAGAGCAGTTTTGAGCTTTTCAAAGGTTCTCAAATTTTAATGTGGATAAAAATCACCTGGAGCGCTTGCCAATAACATTCTGATTTGGTAGTTCTATGAAGACCCAGAATAGGTATTGTTAATCACCAGGTGATTCCAATGCAGGTGATTGTAGGACCTCTTTAAGAAACATTGCTCTAAAAACGTCTCTGTTTTAAAATTTCTGACAGAAGACTTCCCAGAAAACTTTCTTTTTTCAAAACAAAAATGTCATTAAAATGACCATTAATTACCAGAAATTCGATTCCAGAAATGTTAGAATACAGACATTTTTATCCTCTACCTTCCTAGCTGGGTTGGAAGTATTTAGATGGAAGACAGCTAAATATGGGTTAATGCAATTGCTATTAATCACTTTTTGAGGAAATGTAGGCATCCCAAGAACATGCTGTAATTTTCATCACTTTTATACTGCCTCTGCCAGCTTGGTAGTTAAGGAGTAACAAAACAACTATTTATGAAAAGGGCAGGTTTAGGATGAAAATAATTATTTTGCAAAAGTGAGGAAACAGTATCAGAGCCTGCGAACTGTGCTCTTCCAACTGGAGAATCCTGTATTTGTAATAAATTCCTTTTGCTCTGGATGAGTTCTGCATTTTCAATGAGGTTAACTTGGCAACATTCTAGTTGATTTTAATAAAAATAGCTGCTTTGAGGACAGGGAGCTGAGGTTGCCAAATTTACAGCTGCCTTGCACAATTACTCTTACACCTCCTTCAGGGCTACTTAGAACCAGTAAGCAAATTAAGTGTATCGATTGCAATTTTGTTGGACTAACACCCCCACCTTTTTTTTAAGGAATAAACTTGATTCCTTTCAGTATGTGTCTGTTCAGAGTGATCTCTTTTCTTTTCAGCCATAACACAAAGACAACATCATGGCTGGATCCACGACTTGCGAAAAAGGCTAAACCTCCAGAAGAGTGCAAAGAAAATGGTAGGTTATTAAGTTTTTATGATGTTTCGGCGTTGCACTTTGAGAATGTTTGTGTTTCTTAAAGGAGGGTCTCATCTAAAGAAGCAATAATCTAGTTGAACCGATTTTAAAGATGTAATATTTAATGCTCAGATAGGAGAGAGAATTAACGCGGCATTTCAACAGTGCCATGTGGTTTTCCTTTTTCTCTCTGAGGAGACTGTGCCGGATATCACATCTCTGTCATCTCTCTTGGTTCTCTTTGACTCCTGGCCTGACTTTCCACCACCTTCTAAGGACTTTTTGTTTGCAGTATGTCTCTCTGAGGACTCTGATCTTTTCACTGGAATCAAACATGATGTATAGAGAAACACTATTGTGGAACTATAAATGATATGGATTTTTGTGTTCAGAGGCTAGTTATTCTGCTAGTTATTAAGATCTATACATACACATGGCTACTTTCTTTTAATCAAACATTTAAATAAAATAGCCAATTGTATGAATGCCCTGGGTTATCCTTAGTATTTTCTAGTTTGCAATGTAATAATATTAACTTGCTTAAAAATTGACTGTTCTCATGTATGTGAAGAATGCTTTTAAACAATCTTGAGGATTACATGAGTGTAACCCTTGTTTTGAAATTAGTAAATTATTTAGATGAAGTCTATTATAGATAATACTTATAATTTTTAAAGATATCGAGTTTAATGCTAAAAGAACACTTCAAGTTTAGCTAAAATGATAAATAGCATACTCTCCTGATGATTTATTATTTGACCACAATCAGGCCTTTATCTCATCAAGCTATCAGAGCCCTGTTCAGATGCATCTATCATTGAGGAGTTCTTAAAGGTGGAGAAAGTGATGAGGAGAATTTAAACTTTCAAAAAAGTTTTCAAAAAGTCCACCTTTTAAAAATTCTCTAATTCTAAACGTCCTTTCCTTTTAATGTTAACTCTGGCACTCTCAGGTAATGCTGGCATTGTTCATTTATATTAGATAACTGTTCACAAGCTAATTATACACTGAGTTAAGTTAAAAATTACAGTATACAATTTGTGTGTACATATTTTGATGCATAAATATCCAGTTTTTAATCACTATCTATGTTATATTTTATAGTCATAGCTATATCTGTGTGCCTTCTGTGTGATAGTGCCACTGCAGGTGGTTGAATCACATAAAATTATTATGTGCCCTGGATTTTCGAGCACCATTAGGTTGTATATTTCATTGACACCAGTAAGGCATGTGCTGCAAATTGTGATAGGTTATAAATTAAAATGGCATGATCTGTTACATACGGAAGTTACTATTTACTTTTGCCACAGATGTAAAGCCTTAGTATGTCCTAACTAAAATGAGTTTAACGATTTGCACTTCTTTGACATATTGAACTTCTCAGCTCTCTCGTTCCTTTGAGTTATTCTTTTCATTAGAAAAAGCTATTAAAATGAAATTTAAAAATTCTGGGAGAGATGTAGACATAAAGACATTGCATAATTATAGTATTCCAGTGTTACCAGTTTTTCCCACATCTGCACTTGTCTGCCTTCTCATGATGGTAGATACCTAAAATATGATGTCAGTGTCTGTAAAGTACATATCATTGAAAACCAAGCCCTAGAATACAGTCTTGTTGTTCACAATGACTTATAACTGGTCAATTACTATTTGTTTTCATTCTCTACAAAATGAGTAATTTCTGGATTTTATTCCATATATTATTGGAATGGTTTACAATGGTAATTAACATCGAATTAGTTAGAATACTGTATTTTCCAGACACATATTTTAAGTTTTCTTGCCAAGAAAAGTGCTTTTAAGTAATACTGTTACTTCTGTTTTCTTTTTCTTTCTTTCTTTTTTTTTTAAACATGGGTTAAAATTGCATGTTTCAGTGTTGGATGTTAATGCATTTTTGTTGCGCTCACCACTGAAGTCAGGCTTCTTGCACGTATCACAGTTCCACTCAGACCAAACAAAGTCATTTTCTGAATGGTGAAATATGTGTAAAATGTGTCTAAAAAATTACAGAGGCTCAAGATGCTAATATCTTTCTCCAGCAAAGATTTATCCTTCTTATGCCAGTGAGATAGAGTGGAGGCTGATTCTGGAGTTGGGCCAGTAGGAGGTTGGGTTGAGTTTTGGTAAGACTCAATTTATCTCTGGTTTGTTCCTGTTCTTAGGATGTTTGTCCAGGGTTTTCAACTAACAGCCTATTGCAGGTCGGCAAGCATTTTCTGTAAAGGGTCAGGTAGCCTGTATTTTAGGCTTTGCAGGTCATCCAGTCTGGTAACTACTCATTGTGCAAAAAGGCAAAATCAATATATAAATAAAGGGCATGGATGTATTCTGATAAAGCTTTTCTCGTGAACAGAGAATTTGAGTTTCCTATAGTTTCAGAATTTGAGTTTCAAAATTCGGTTCTCTTGTTGTTTTGTTTTGCAGCCGTTTAAAAGTATATAAATTGTTCCTCATTTATGGACCATACATAAAATAAGGGCAAACTGAATTTGATCCACAGGACAAACCCAGACCTAGTGTGTTCGTGTGGGGCTTTCCTCTTGGCAGATCTTAAATTCCAATATTTTTTTATATTTTTTAATGTTTATTTATTTTGAGAGAGAGAGAGAGAGACTGAGCATGAGCGGGGGAGGGGCAGAGAGAGAGGGAGACAGAATCTGAAGCAGCTCCAGACTCCTAGCTGTCAGCACAGAGCCCAATGTGGAGCTTAAACCCACCAGCTGTGAGATCATGACCTGAGCCGAAGTCGGACATTCAACTGACTGTGCCACCCAGGTGCCCCTTGAATTCCAATATTTTAAAAATAATGTGTTTCAGGCATCTGGGTAGCTCAGTTGGGCGCCTGGGTAGCTCAAGTGTCAACTCTTGATTTTGGCTCAGGTCATGATCTCATGCCTTGAGTTTGAGCTCTGTGTTGGGCCCTCCCTCTCTCAGTATCAATAAATAAACTTAAAAAAAGTAAAAATAAAAATATTTTTTCTCCTTAGTATTGCAAGACTGCCAAAAATCTGTGGTGCATTTCAGGAGTTTTTGCTTAGCTTTTTGCCCCTAGACCTTGAAGCATCTTAATCTGACAGATGTTATCATGGGATAATGGGGTGTGTGTTTAAAATCTCTCGAGAATATATTTTGTCACTCCAGTCCCTCAGGACTCCATGTTCTGCTCGTTTCCCTAACCTCCAGCCTTGGCCTTCTACCTAGACCAAGTCTAGAGCCTTCCCACAGCCCAGAATCAAAATCAGCTGCAAAATCTTCCCTCGCCTCTCCACTTTTCTCCTCTTTGGAATCTTAGACCTGTTGTTTCTCTTTAAAATGTTTAGTTTTTGCATTTTGTATAGATTTTCTATGTGTTCTCATGGCTTATAAGCTTCTCACTCCATCTACCTAGAAGCAAGTTTTAGTGCAGTAATTTTTAAAGTGAACATTTCACACCTTACTGGGTTGCATACCATAAATTCTTTATTATTATTATAATTAACCTTTTACTCTCTGAAAATTAAATCCCATGATGTTGTATATGCATGCATACTATTAGAAATGTACATATGTACATGTGGATGTAGATAGGGACCTGTACACATTGGCATTTTAAGGTTTGTTTACATCAGTGTGTAAAGTTAATTCCTTGGTCAACTATTAAAAGAAGAAGCTGAGTGAAAGATGGAAGGGAGGTATCAACTGATTTAAATTGTTCTTGGGCTAACGAAAAAACTAGGAAATGTTTTCTTATTGTTATCAAGGGGGAAAGGGAAACATAGGTTGCTCTGTACAATCACTTACTGTATTGACACCAAAGCAATCGTTTTGATTATTATTTGAAGGATAATGCTGCTACTGAATAATGCTGCTACTGAACATGAAAGCATACTGTCTTTCACAGTACAGTTGAAAATAATGAAGTCACTCCATTCTGTGCATTTGTCATCACTCTGCATTTTTAGAGTTTTAGCACCAGTCTACATAGCAGAAAAAAGTCTCCACCTACTGCTGGATACTAATATTAGTATTTGGGAGAGTGCTGTTTAACAAGCCAATATAGTCTTTTACAAGACCACAGAAACAGCAGTTAACTATTAAATAATTAGGATGCAAGATCAGTGAACTGTGTACATAAAACATCATCATATTTGTCCTTGGCCATCAGAATTAGTACCAAGGGGTTTCTCCTGAGACATTTCCAATCACAGACATCCCAGTGGTGACACATCCCCCATGAATCACTGAACTAGGGGAAATATCAAAAGTGATTCAAACCTTATAGGGCTATTCTTTTCTTAAAGCTGAAATGTAATTAAACTATCACATTCAGGAGAGGAAATCATGTGAAATTTGTTGTCTAGGAAGGCTCTATTCCAAACACAAATCTGTGGGTTCTTGGGCAACATGCTTAATTTCTGAGAGCCTAGGCTTTTTTACCTGTAAAATGGGAAGGATATCTGTTTCATGCTGATTTAGTTACACATATAAGAGGGACAGTGTTTATGGAACCACAGGCTCTCAGTAACTGCTCCTTTCTTTTCCTTCTGGTGTGTTCTGAGCCAACGAATTAGCCTCATAGAAGACAAGGCGAAGAATTCAGAATAGTTGGTCTACCTTAAGAGCCTTCAGTTACTCTAGTGTCCTGGAGAGCTGGAAATAGACAACCCATGTAGGCTACAATTATCCACCTACCTAATTCCAGCCTAATATCAATAGACTGGAGCTTGTCCCTCTCCATTCTGTTAGAATGGCTTTAAATGCTCCCAAAGTTGTAATCACAGCTGTACAAACTGGGTGGCTTAGTTCTTATATTCTATGTCTATGAATTATAAAGGAGTTTTGTCATGTTACTATAAAACAAAAATCACATAATCTTCACCTGGTTACCTACATGAGAACTGCATTTCCATCGGCATTAAGTAAAGTTTTGAGATATTACTTAATCTATCTTTAAAAAAAAATGGTGTCCAAAATGCTCATGAATGAAGACGGCATAAGCTATGTGTTGTAAT